ATAATTACCCATGTTGTTATGCACTACACCAATGTTGTTGTAGGAAGTAGCCAAATTAGGATGATTGGCAGGAAGTGATTGTTTACTGATTGTTAAGATTTTGTCATAATAAGCAAGTCCTTCTTTATAGTTTTCTTGGTTATTTTTGATGAAACCAAGTGGATAATAAATAGATGCCTTGTCTTCCTCATCGTCCGTTTGATCAAGTATAACTTGATAAATGTGTTCAGCTTTGTCATATTGAGCCATTTGAATTAGTGCCAAACCTAATCTGTACCATCCATCTTCATGTAGAGAACTCTCTTGACGAATGTAATCGGTAAGTCTGTTCAATTCTGAATCATTATCAGTAGTAAGTGTCAAGTTAACTTGATACAAACGATTATTTCCATCCATCTGTTTAATATGCTGGATGCGAGAAACGCTATGCATCGAAAACAAGACTTCTTCTTCTTCTTCGAAGTCACCGATGCTAGGAATAAAAGCAAATGGGGATGTTGATTGAGATGGATCTACAGTGATAACGAAAAGTATTCCATATAAATCCGGATTGGCCAGATTGCTTTCAGCAAACAAATAGGAAACGTCACGATCTTTACTTGTAGATAAGAAGCAGTTGAATGAAATAAGGCCACCCTCAGCGTTCTTCATTTGTTCAAAATCCTCTTTAGATAAACCTTGTCCACGATAAAGAGTGAAGGTGTCAACATCAGTTTTAGCGGCATATTGTTCCTGATGTAGCTTTTCAATATTTCTATGCAAATCACCAATGAAGAAGCCCATTCGTGTAATGATGTCACCATCCATCAATCGTAATGCCTTATTGAGCATGGAATATAAGAACATGTCACGGGTGTACCAATAAATCGGTGTTTTGTTATGATATTGGTCTTCCAACTGTTTAATATTCTTGACGTCTTTTATATTACCTTTAGAAGGATCGCGACAATAATCGATATAATCCTGGATGTGATTTTGGTTGAATTTTATGCTCAGTAATATCTCCTTGATGATTTGAGTGTACATAAAAGAAGGATCTAATTGATCCAACCTTTTATTTGATTCCACAAAACTCATGGGAATGGCATTCTGCTCACATTGATGAGCAGCTTTCTTGAGTGCTTCACAGATGGATGTAATATCTGTAAAGACACCCTTTATTTTGAACCAGTCCTTAGCCCATTGTTTATGATGTTTTTGGTTTTCACAAAAAATGAAAATTGAATCTAGTTGAGATATATTGTGTACACGAGGTACAATATGTTGTCCAAGTGATCCAGATATAATCATACATGCTTTTTTGTTAACAATTGTTTGAATGAATTCAAAACATTGATCACCATTTGTAAATGTTTTGATGTCGTCGATAGCCCGTCGCAGTTGTTTGATTGTATTTTTGCAATTATCATTTGTCTTGTCAATGTTACTGTCTAACCAGATAAGAAGAACATTTTGCATGCGTTGAATATTGGTACGTCGACGACGTTCTGCATATTCTGGAAATGGATATTTATTTATAGCGCCATCAGATTCGTTAGTTGCTATTAATTTTCTGTTGTTCATTGTTGACCGTGTGAGTGATTTGAATTCGAGTTATTATGTGAAATTTACTAGTAGCGTAATGACCAAAACTGATTCGTTTTACAAGTGTCTACTTTATTTCGAAATGGTTTTTTCTTCACTCGTGATGATGTGATTATGAAAAACAACTAATGAAGAATAAAAAAAAATACACTGGTGAAATATTGTCATGGTTGATTAACTATAGCAGTAGCTTACGAAAAATAAATGTTTGATTTGGTTTAATGGAGAAAAAAACGTGTTGAGTCATGTTTGTTATTAGAGAATCGCAAGTGAAAAATAGTATTTATAATGGTAAATGTTTAAACTAGCTTTTATCCTTCTTCTTGTTGTATTGTTTCAACAAAAAGTCTCTAAATGACCATCATGAATAATTAAGATAAACTTGTAAATAAGTGCACTGTTGACGAAAAGAATCTAATAATGGTTTTTTTATCACTGCATACTTAAAAAAACTAATAGATCACTAATTCTTACTGTTGTTGAGATATTTATGTGAAGTTCTCGTATCTATTTGTGACATTAAGGATTGCTATTGACTAATTCTATTGATCTTGATCTTGAATTTAATCTACAGGTTCAGTACATTATTTTTAATAGTTTTGTATAATTTATTGTATTCACCTGAAACACTGAAAGTTTATTATTTTGATACCGTTGGATAGAGCATCGGCTACTCTATCGAATTATATAGTTTACATATTATGTCCTTGGATTTTAATCCAAAAAAATTCTAAGTCTCAGACGACGATTAAGAAATTTTTTTAAGGCATTATGCAGTACGTTTAATTAAGAATAAAATGTATCAGAAGACGAGACGTAAAAAGCTCGACAATATGCGTGATCAAGCATATATTAATTGTACATTATTTTGTTCCTAAAAAAAGTAGTATTCAGCGCAACCGATTTTTTCCATTGAAAAAAAATTTTTCTTTCAAAATAATAGAAATTTGGCTTTGTCGAATTTTTTATAGCAAAAACTAAAAGTAGAAAAGAAATGGCTCCATGCAAGTTATAGAGCTTTTCACGCTGCATCTTTTGGTATATTCTGTTTCAAAGAAATTTTAAATAAATGTGCTGATACAAAAAATAAAACATACTCTGTCTCTCATCTGATACCTGTTTTTAAAAAAAACATTTTTGATGTTGTTTGAGATTTTGAAATTTATTTGAACTGAAATCGAAGAACAGAATGTAAATTATATGATTTGACAGAGTAATCAGCGCTCTATCTAACTGTATCAAAATGATAAATTTCCAGTGTTTCAAATAAATATAATAAATTACATAAAACTATTAAAAATAACGTACTCAGTCTGTATTTATATTAAATTAAAGTATTTATACAGTAAAAAGATAGTTTCACCATTGCTGATGAAAATGATCAAAATATCTTCGTTCACATTTTAATTCCTTATCGATTTTATCCATCACTTTATCATATCGAGTATCAGTTACATTTTTTTGTAATAAATCATTTTTATGTAAAGTTTTTCCCTGAGAAATGATTCTTTTCAGTGATTGTAAGCTAACATATCTAAAGATCATCGAAGAAAGATATATCGACTGTAAATTTATCTATATAAAATTGGATTATGTTAATATTATGAGTGACAAAAATTTTCTCCATTCATCTTTTTGACTGTTTACCTGTAGGTTCATCTTGTGAATTTAATGTATTCGTTTTGTTTGCCGTTAGAAGACTTGGGTCTCTTATTTATCGACATTGTTGTAGAATCGAATTTTTAACTAAAGCAGATCTTATGGTTAAACGTGAAGAGGGATATAGTATAAAGTATGAAGAAATATTCATTTCTCATTTTCACTAAATGAATATATACAGTTGGAATTGATAGCCAAGAACTTTTCACGGGATTTTCAACTAATTGATTCTAATCCTGTTTAGAATAATAATAAACGCTATATTGAAACTGTTTTAATTAAATAGGAAGTATTGAAGGAAGTTTTTTACCTAAAGAAGATTCGAATCACGTGTAGATATTGTTAAGGAAATTTGTTCAATAGAAGGAACAGTTAACATTAAAGATATAAGATAACTGAATATTGAATATTGGTAAATAGCCAAGAGAGAAAAGATTTTTGAATATGGAAGTATACAAGAAAAGATGCGATTTTTAATGAAGAATCTCTTAATGTAACATCAAATTGATAAATATTCGGAATATATTCAATAAGTAAAGATAAGTCTTTGAGCTAGATAACGAATATGATGTGAAATAATATTATTTATTGAAAGATCACTCAAATGAAGTGAATCGCAATCAAATATAATATTATTTTAAAAAGAATTGTTTTCATTTAAAATTTTCTAAAGAAAATCTTCAGTTGATATTGTTACTGAATTTAATAGTTCTTGAATTTTATCATGAATTAATAATAATGTTCCACGTTTCCAACTTGTTAATATTAAGATTTGTAAGTTTGAAGACGTATTGGACATCTATTGAGTAAATAACGATGGGAATGATAACTAATGTGATTGATGGATCTATTGGAGCTAAAATATATTCATAGATATAAAGTAAATGTTTATATGATGCACAACGAAATCAAACATATTGATAATAGAATGTGATTATTTGATTTATACGAAAATTTAAGTTATAAAATGAATAAAATACATGACTACAATAAAGATATCGGCAGATTTCTAAAATCATTTATCTGGCAAGATTATGAATGTTGATATTTAAGCAAAATACATCTAGAATTTGTTAATAACTCAAAACTGTCGAGAAGAAGTTGATATTCTATACAATAATCAACAAAAATCTTCAGGATGTGTGTGTGGGTGCTGACAGAGGAAGAATACAACACCCACACCCTCAAGATGCGTCATTAAATTAAGTTAAATAGCATCGTAAAAATCAATTTCAAATACAATTTATTATTATAATAGAGACATGCGAATAAATATTTTCATTATTTTGCTTTAAACGATAGTTCAATTAACTGGCATTATTGATGGATGTCTCATCATCAAAATGTTGATAGCTTGAATATAAGGATGTGATTGTAGGTAGAATCGATGTGATACACTCATAGCCGGTCACATCCACATCGTTACTTACTATATTATTCATTTATTTATTTATTTATAGTTATCTACTCTTAGTAACCTTTATTTTTCGTTGATCGGAATTCTTCTTTTTAACTGATAAAAGTTGGCATTTTCCCTAGTACTTATATCTGATAAACTGGTCACTTTATAATTATTTATTCATGATTCCAACATTAATTGTTTAATATTTAGGCTGCTCGTGTACATATTTTTCTTACTAGTCATTTTATCTATTATATTGATCAATTAAATAGTGGTCATGGAAATACTTCACATTTATATACATGTTTACTAGGTTTTCAAAAGAATATGGTCTCAGTTTTACTAACGATGATTTTATTTTTATCAAATCTTTCTTTTTTGACAACCACCATTCAAATCATATTTCGTAATATGATTAACGCTCGTATTTTAGTCAGTTAATGATTATTTTACAAAAGCATTCGTGATTAAATAGTTTGATTACAACATTAAAATTTACGATTTAATCAGCAAATACAAATATTTCTTTTTCTATCGATTTCAATCAATGCAGCTCAACAATATTCAAAACAGTAAATTTAAGTCCATCTGTAATTAATATTTTTCCATTTCCTAATACAGATGCTATATGATGCGGTTTGTTTATTGATTCTAGAACAGTCTATCGCATTCGTACTTGATACAATGAAGAAGCGAAATACTCGCGTACATATTTTTCTTTTTAGAAAAGAGAAAACCTTTCATATAAAAACGCAAGAATGTACTTGAGATACGTTATTTTTGATTTATTCTCGTTCTTTCTAAAGCACGCATACATATTACACAGAACAGTATCATGTCACAACAAGCACAAGTTCAACAGCTAAATCAAGAAACAGTCAGAAAAGAGGTAATTTTATCGATCTTCTTTTGTTCATAGCTATTAAAATATACAAATGATTTCTATCCCAGGTCGATGATTCCTAAAGCAGTATTCTATGAATTTTCGGCAGAAACCCCCGCCAGAAAGTGCCAAGAATTCGACCCTGCAATCGGTTCCGGTCACCGAATCAATTCAACGAGAATACTGCTTCCATCAAATCTCCGGAATACCATAGAACCAGCTGTTTCCGTGCTGGATTGCTCGACCTGGGTTTCTTCAACTACCAGAATTAGAAAAAGAAAAAACAGCTCTTAACAAAGAGCTAGATGCAGTGCTCGAAGAGTATGAAAATACACAAGTTCCACTGGTAGCTTTTAACAGCAATCGAAATGCAGACCGGGTTGTATCTGATCTAAAAGATCTTCAAGAAGAAATCGAGCAAACAAAAGAACAGGATGGCATTATCGATGAATCAAACGAACAAAATGCTGTTGAACTCTCTAACGAAAAGAATGATAAGCAAGAAATACAATATGAAGATGACAAATTGAAACAGTGGTTGTTAAGGCTTCCCCCCCCCCTCCAAAAAGTCGATTTTCGTCAAAAAAATGGATTTTGAGATAAACACATGGGCATGATGCCTGAGTAGTCTACTTTATAAATCCGTAAAGATTTTATTAAATCTCTAACTTTTTTAGGGAAATTTTGTAAAAAAACTTGAGTTAGTTGAAGCCATTATTGCTTATATAGATAAAAGAAAAACTCGTTTTTCTCAAAATCGAGTTTTTGAAAAATATCGATCTCTGAACAGATTTTTCTCCGCTATAGTTCACTCTATTAAGCTACGGTTTTTTTTATTTGATAGATAGATATGTCCTCCTTCAGATGACGAGAAGGAATTTTTTATTTGACTCCCATTCTATGAGTAATCAGGTATTTTCTAAAAAACCCTACATAGGGTTTTTAGAACTTCAAAGTTTTGTAGATCCCACCAAAGAAAAAAAGTTAAAATTAAAAAAATTCTTTCCCTCATCCGAAGCATTAAGAAGTTCTCGT